TGAAAAACCGATTTTGAGTAAAAATTCCCGTTTTTTCTTAATTTGTATATTGTTTTTCTTGGCGCTTTTGAAAACTTTTGGTAAATTTTGACTTCCCCAATGCACCGACAATATTCACTTTCCCATCAAAAAAGATACTGAAGTTGAAAATCAACTACTTGTCGTTACACAGAAACAAAAAAAAAAAACACACATCATTGTAAAATCAATTCATTCATCGTTCCACTGAGAATTTAATAACGGTAAATAATTTTTCACTGAACTAAAAAGATTGAAAATTGTATACAAGGTTCATCTAAACCATTTATAATTTTGGTATACAAAGATAATATTAACGATTAATAACAATGATATAATATTATGATAAAAATATACACAATTATAATAATTGAATATTAATTAATACAATAAAATAAATACAATATTTTCGGCAAAAATTAAATTATAGGTACCAATAGTAGTAAAATAACTAATAAGTGTTAATTTAATAGTAATATAAAAATGCATATCTTATTCTGACCTATAGATTTTGTGGGTATAAACTATTTATTATAATATACTATACACTATGTTACAAAGTTAAAAACCAGACAGTTCCAAATACGTTATTTTTCCTATACAGGTTGTTGGATTTATCTTGTTCTTGTAAAAATGTAAAGATTAACTCGTATTAATTGTTTGCTGTATCAAATTCAATTAAATCTGGATTTTACGAAAAATGGAGCTGTCCGGCTCTTGCACTGACCACTTCAAATACCACGTCCACCTAGGTCACTGAGTTGCAGGACATTCCGGATCGTTCAACTGATATCGTATCCATTGGACAAACTTATTGTAAGGTTATGTCTGATTTCTGTGAGCTCTGTGATCATTGCACAACACCGTTCCGATCCGACAAAGGTGTTACTCCTTTCGCCCGAAAATAACGTTTCTCTTTTCGACCAAATATAATAAAATATCTTTTCACCTAAAAATTTTTGGGCGAAAGGAGTTTCGCCTTAAAACCACATGATGATCCTTCCCTTATAACTAAAATGAACAATCCTATTTCCCATTTTATTGTTTGTCTCCCTCACATTTTCCTAGTCGGAGAGTGTTGAATCCTGGTTACCTATCCATTTTCACTCCAGTGCTGCCCTTATATCATAATATTATACAAGTACATTATGATCTTGGGCACTACCTGCCTTCCATAAACCTATAAAGTTAGTCTATAGGCACATGCTGCTTTCATATCATTGGACTGTGTGTTGAGCCTATCGATCGGAAGTAGGCTACATTACTCGTTAGACGCGCATGTTAATATGGTTGCCTAACCTAAAGCCTTCACTCATTTCAATCGATTATAAGTTTGTCAATATAAATTATCTATGTTAAAATATACTTATGTATTTTCAATATTATATATTTGTCATAATTTTGTCAATATTTTCGTAGTCAAAATAATTTGAAAATAAGCATTTGGTGAAAATTTCAATATCAAAGAATTTTTGCTTTTAAGATACACCAAAAAAACTAAATGTTTTTGGCGGTCTTGTGTGGTTATGGACGAAATTCGACCGAGTCTAGCAACCGTGCAGGAAGACGGAAACGACAGTACCAGGGTCTAATGAAGAGATCGTACCCGTTGGCTATTACATAAACCGCTTCCAGTATTATAGGCACCACTTTACCTACTTTATGACGCCTTATAACGCTTTGTGTAATTAGTAATTACATCACAATGAAAATATATTGTTGAACGTACCTATATATTAAATTTATGAAAAGGATGAGAAACATTAAAGAATTGTGTGTTTGAATATAAATATTTTGTCCATTGTCTGGCCAAGACCATACTATATTTTACACTACACTTGTAGAGTAGGCTTGTGGTTATAAAATTCGTGAGTATTGTGACTTATACAGGGACTCATGTGTTAAGACGCTTCCAGTCGTAGTGGTTTTGTAGCGTACGTGTCCAGACGATGTGGCATTTGTTATTCGATTATAATAAAATGATTTAAAAAATAATTTTAACATTAAAAAAACACGGACAAGTAGGTTACCGCCTACTATTCAGTAGCTGTGAAACATGTCGTTGTAATTTATGTGTTTTATTTATATTCAACGATAAATCATTGTATACGAAAAAAGATTCAGAGAAGTTGTATCAGCCTACCATAATTGAATAAATAATCAAATTAAAAAAAAAAAAGGGGGTAAGTGGATTTCGCTGTGCTGTACAGTAGGTTCAAAGTGGGTCAATGTATAAAGGATAGTATTAACTTGAATTCAATGATATAATATCATTGTATAAGAAAAACGATTCGGAGCGGCGATGCGCGATGGTTTGTCAGTCTGGATATTGTTATTATTTATTATATCCTGTAAGTTGAATTTATATTATAATATTTATTAATATTTTTTATTGTTTTTATTTTTTTATTTTATTTTTTATTTTCTATGGTGGTAAACAAAGCGTTAGAAATTAAAATCCCATTTTCAACTGTTTTTTGTAATTTGTCAGTGGTTTTTCCTGTTTCACTTAAATAACTATTGAGAAAATCAAAAAATTACCTTTCTAAAGTACTATCTTGATCCAATTTGCTAAAAATTATGGTACTATATGTTGAAATCGAAGCACTCCTTCTGGTAGATATTTCGTATACAGGATATAAAAAAAAAATAAAAATAATAAACACCATTGTAAAACCACAAGCATCCTCGCTCCTCGCAGAATCTGAAATTAATAAAAATCTAAAATGTATCAATAGTGTGACTCTCTGATGAAATTTTTCTTTTAAATGGATGTAAGTAGTATAGAAAGACCGGTTCTGGTGACCCCCCCGCTTCACCCCCCCCCCCCCCCGTCAATTACGAGCCACCCGAGCCACCCTGAGCCACCATCCACTCCACCCACGCCCCGTCTTTACCGAGCCACCCTTGGCCACCTACCCGATCCACCATCCCCTCCAATCACCCCAAACTAACCTAACCTCCCGCCCTCAAGAGCCACCGGTCGCAATCCCCCTCCACCCTACCGCCACCCACACCGCAAATACCTCGGTAACGTTGACCGCACCACCCCACCCCGCTACCGAGCTACACCTCCGCACCGCCCTGCCCATTTGACGCTCGCCGCGTGGCGTCCACCCCGACCGCGGCGCGCTCTGTCCGCGACGCGGGCGGGCTCATCGACCGCCGTCCGCTCGACCCGTATTATATTATCACCGACGGGGGCGCCACCTATCCGCTAATCGGACGGACGCGGTTTTTCGAATTTTATCATATTATACATACAAACATACTTTTACCAGGATACCAAGTCAAATACTAACACGATTTAATTGTTTAATATAATTCTATGTTTATTCAATACAAATATCATATACATACATATTATAATGAACATGGGTGGTGGTGGTGCTGTAGGTCACCCGACGACATCATACGATTCAGATGTACATATACGGGCTTGACTATTACTATTATCGCGATTATTACCAACATCATACGGTTCTGATTTACAACGACAACAGTCTCGAATGCCCCTATTATCACTACGTTTGCGATTAAATTCATTTTTTACATTTACAATAAATTCCATGCCTTTATACAATAATACGAATACACATTTAGGGTTGTGCAGGGCGTATTGCTACCACACTTCGTCATTTTCCTCCTATTGCCCCAACAATAACCCGCAGTAGTGACATTGAACCAAATCCTCAGTCCGGGGTATAAGTGAATCCGCTGGCGGCCAGTGAATATTTATCTTGACACGATCGAGCCGGGTGTGAATCGAATGTTTTCAACCTCGATAAAAAGCTTGTATAAATTACTCAATATAGGCAACCCACAACACATATAAACTCGTCGCACGATCCCGATCCTACAAGTGACCGACATATATTTTACGCCTTCCCCTTCAAATACATTACCTCCCCTTTTATTAGCCCTTTAAAATATATACAGGGTGTTTCTGAAATTAATGAGGAAACTAGTATATGCGTACTCAGTGTGATGACCCGATGATGATTTTTTTGAAAATTTTTTTCTACCTTCAAAATCTGGGTTTTTTCAATTTATTTTTAGAACATTATCTTAAATGTAAAAATAAATACTCAAGTTATATTTTTTGTAAAAATCTCATACGAATCGAGGTGTCACATCATTTTTGAGCTTGTCGCACGTTTTTCACGCTCGAACCGCCGATTAAAAAAAAATGGTGTGGCACATCGATTTGTATGAGAAAACTACAAGATAAACAGTGGTGATAGTTATTTGTTGAAATTTAACACACACGATTAATTAACACATAATATCAAGCATAATATGGGATTTAGCTAAAATTGTTTACCCTCAATGTAGTTGTATTAGAAATTCTGATAACAGCGTTCAGATGTTCAACCTCAGCATTCTTTTCACTGACCGTAGGAAAAGCCGCGGACAAGCCACGCTGTCCTATTATGAGGAAGCATATTCTACACATCATAATTATTTACAACGTTATTCTGTGAAACTACTATCCATCTAGACCCAAAAATATATATATATGTATAAACCTCTCGTACTCCCCTAGAATGAATGCTGTATACAATCGACATACGCGCTGGACCTTAAAACTAATTCAGTCTGTTCCGCGACATCTACTACACGTCTACACACCATCCGTCTTCTATATTAACATCTATTTCCTTTCCGACTTATACAGTTTATTTTGAAGTGTTTAATAAAATGGATTTTGTATTAATGTTTTTCTCATTTTTAACGACCATCCTGAACAATCATGTGGAAATAAGGTACAATGTTTAGTATTATATTATCATAATAAAATAATAATTAATTTTTAAAAAATTAATTATTATTTAGCAAATCTCATCACGAAGATGAGGATGAAGACACCGACCATCCCTTCCTCAATGAACTGATGGAAATTGGGAACGGATCCTACGGAGAAGAAGAAATTCAGTAATCATATTTATCATATTAGAATATGTTTTCGTAAATATGTTTATTTATTTATTTATTTTTAATAGAGAAGACCAAATCGCGCGGCTGAGCGAAGATTCAATTTCGATAAAGCCCGGCATATTAACCCTTTGCATGCGTGACTTTTTACGTTTTATGTTTTTAGGAGTATTCTCTGTATAAGCTACACCTTCCTCGTTCGGCAATGGCGAATCTGGCCTCGATGGCGCTGTGGTAGCGGGGGATGTCACGTTGGACCGTGTCGTGGTGGTCTGTGCGGGTGGCGGGGTAACGATAATCTGTGTGCGAGGCGCGGATGATGAGGCTTGAGGCGGGGGAGTAGATGTGTCCGCACGGCGACTGCGAGACGAGATGACCGTCGGAGTCAAGACATCTGGCTGAGCATGCGGTGTAGTGGCTGAGGGTGCCCACTTTATGACTGATGTGCGACCTAACATATATTATTAATATATTATTATTATTATCGTTATTATTATTTATAAGCGAAAAAAATTATTTACCCATTGCACCATCTACTCGTACAGCACTGTGGAATTCTGGAGTGTTTTTAACGATCTCTATTTTAAAAATAATTTAATTAATAACTCCGAGTATTGTCGATCCGAAAAAAAACATTGTATGTGTATTTTTCCGGGTCGATGACGAATAATATTCAATGTACTTACTGTGACATTTTTGAACATGGATACTGAGTTTGTCTCGGCGGGTGAATGTCTTGAGGCATATCCTGCACGAAATCACTGATCCATCGTGGGTTTTGAAATGTCTGTTCAGATCACACTTATGGGAGTACACTTTTTCACATAACACACAGTTAAACATTTTTAAATATTTTATACTAGAGAAGTTATTTTAACGGAGTGAGCGAGGTAATACGAATGTACACCAGTTGTCGTCGAGTTGCACTGACCGTCTGATTTGTAGAACATGTGCGCTGGCGGTGGACCCGAATATCGGATGCTGTGGTGGGCGGACGGGTGGTGGGGGGTTTCGGACATTATCTATAAATGCTGTAGAAATATTTGACCGCTAGTACCTACTAAGTGGCGCTGGGGTATAATACATTTTATAATTAACGGACGCAATAAGCACATCGCACGCCATGTGTCGACCATGATAACGACACCAGCGGTGGTAATAATATTTTGCAGATCTGCCTACGACGGTTAACACTGTTATCTGATAACTGGAGATAACTAAATATTTTAATTTATATTATTATAATTATTATTCTGTATATGTATTGCAACGGCTGCTAGCTTTCGCCATATAACCGACAGTTGCGTACAGACGGTTACACGGGTTAGAAGCGTCTTATTCAAGTTAACAGTTGGAACGCATTATTTACGATTTAAAATATTTTTCTACGATTCATTTGTAATGAATATATTACAATGTACCGTCGGTTGTCGATCACTAGTGCTTTTGGTATATGAGAACTCTGATCCGGAATATCCTCAGTATACAAGCTTTTTATCGAGGTTGAAAACATTCGATTCACACCCGGCTCGATCGTGTCAAGATAAATATTCACTGGCCGCCAGCGGATTCACTTAAACCGGGACTGAGGATTTTTCATCTAATAGAATTGAACTATCTAGATGATTATTGGGCATAACAATTTTGTAGTAGTAGGTATAACCAATTGATGAGCGAGGTTGTACTTTTGAAAATACTTTTTAGGGTGGATGTATTGGAATGTTTAAATGCATCTATGTAAATGTGACTAAGTATTTTAAAGTATGTATTTCATGTGTGAGTGTGTCTATATGTAACGAGTGTCTTTTATTGATATGTAAGTTGTATATCAAGATTAGATGTGTGTGATGGTGTATATAATAATATGAAAGTACCTATTTATGTATGAATGCTGTATATATGTGCCATGTATGGGAATAAATGATTATATATATTATTATGTAAGTCTTATAGTATGTTTAGGTGTTTGTTATAATGAATGTAATAATACTTTTTGAAATGTTGTGTTACATGGCGGGACATGTATAAATGCCCGCTTAAACTGATGAAACTTCCCTGTAAAAAGGGGCTCAGAATATTATACAAATATGTGTATGTATGTATATAATGTGTAAGTATCTAAATATGTATGAACTAACCTATGGTTATATGAGTGTATGTGCATGTATGTGCTAGAGAAAGGGATGAACGAAACTCATCGACATCTGTAAACGGTTGCCCGTATATTGGTATACTATATTTCTGTATGTTGTCAGGTAGAGGAATGTCTACGAATATCTCTATACTTTAACGTGTATATTTTGAAAAATATAATTTTTTACAAGTTTATGTATGTGTATGTGTGTGTGTTTGAGATACATTCCGGTGTATAACATATGCTATAGCGATTCGTTTTTTCGTATGTAATTATATAATAAGAAAACTGTATACTATTTTTATGTATGTTTGTATGTATGTATGTATGTATGTATGTATGTATGTATGTATGTATGTATGTATATGTATGCATGTATGTATGTATGTATGTATCATGTATTTATGTATGTATTATGATAATGTATGTATCATGTATGTATGATAATGTATGTATTATGTTGAGCGTGTCGGCATTGTAAATATTATCATATAAGATTGGAATGTAAAACTGATGAAGTCTATATGGTATCGTGTGTTTGATAGTAAATTATAGTTTGTAAGTGTATTGCCATATCATATTTATATGTATAAATATTATGTAAATTGTATAATATGTTCAGGAGTTTGTGATAATGATGTGTATATTATTGTTTAGATATAATATTATGTAAGTATGTATATATATGTAAGCTATATTATAATATATTTGAAACAAACACTGTTTGAGATACATTCTGATGTATAACGTAAGTTTCAGCGAGATGTTTATTCGAATATGATTATAATCTGAAAATGGCATAATATTTTTAGATAATATATGTGATAATGTACCTTACATTATATTATGAGTATGTATGTATATTATAATATGTATGTATAATGTATGTATGTATGTATATATGTATACGTATGGTTGTATGTATGATATAGTCGATACAAATGTACATCAGAATATTATATATATATATATATATATATTTTAAAGGGCTAATAAAAGGGGAGGTAATGTGACACGGACAGAGCGCGCCGCGGACGGGGTGGACGCCACGCGGCGAGCGTCAAATGGGCAGGGCGGTGCGGAGGTGTAGCGTGGTAGCGGGGTGGGGTGGTGTGGTCAACGTTACCGAGGTATGGGTGGTATGGGGTGCCGGTAGGGTGGAGGGTGATTGAGACCGGTGGCTCTTGAGGGCGGGAGGTTAGGTTAGTTTGGGGTGATTGGAGGGGGTGGTGTCTCGGATGGCTCGGGTGTCTTAGGGCTGCCGGATCGGGTGGGGGTGGGTTGGGTGGAGGGGATGGTGGCTCGGGTAGGTGGCCAAGGGTGGCTCGGTAATGACGGGGCGTGGGTGGAGGGGATGGTGGCTCAGGGTGGCTCGGGTGGCTCGGTATTGGTGGAGTGTGGGTGGAGGGGTGGTGGCTCGGGTGGCTCGTTATAGTATGGTGGTGGGGTGGTGAAGCGGGGGTTCACCAGAACCGGCCTTTCTATACTACTCTGTTCCGTATGGAACATCAGAAACAAAATAGATGAGTTAAGGCTTATCATAAAAAACACGCTGATAAAAGCTAACAAATACAAAATTCCCACGTATGTATACTTGATTATTATTGGCTCCCTTTACGCTATAATGTTTTGTTTTTATCATCAAATATTGTATTAAGAAGCAGTATAAATGCAATATCGTTGTATATTTCAACCGTCGTATGAATGTGGCTTTAGAACGTTACTTTTTCCAAGTAGACCACTTGGACGGCCGGTTACGTTAGCGTTTAGCAACGTGGATAGGGTTCTGAATTTCAATGAAATTATAAAAAATATTTTTTCTTCTTTTAAACATGTTCGGTTAAAGAATATTAACATTATATATAATTAAACAAATAATAATATATTGATTACACGTTTACACACAGAAAACCAGTGCTCGAATGTGGTGGTGCGCGGGGACGGGACGGAGCTCCATTACTATTTTCCTTTTTTTTTGCGTACTCCTCCAATTTTTTGTATGGTCTGGTTTTAATAATTGCGCCCAGTTTTTAAGTCGTTAGATTGAGCTCCTCTACTTAATTTTTCCCAATTCGAGCACTGCAGAAAACGTTGATATAATGAATAAATTATTTGTTATCAACCAAGGTTCTCAAATTACCATAATATGTTAATGATTATAAGTTAAGTTTTGACTGTATAACTGCACGTATAATTATAAAATATGGTATATTGGTATTAATTGTGATATTATTTATAAATCATATCAGAAAAACTAGAATCCTAAATTTATAAATACAATAATAATTTTAATTATATGTAAGTATATAATATGTATATTATGTATTGGGCAAGTGTCAATGGGGGTTTTAACCTCCTAACCCCCGCTCAGTGAGCACTCCCTTGTTATATTTCATGAAATTTTAAAACCCTAATCGTAGCCCGTAGGTAATATTATCATAGTAAATTACAATATATTTTGTCATAATTTCAAGATCATATTATGTCCTTTTTTGTCAATTATAGGTAGGTATTTGACAAAATCAAATTATTATTTTAAGCTAATAATTGTATTATTTGTTTTCATGTTTCACAAAAAGACCTAATAAATTTTAAAGATTTTGTGTGGTTTTGGTCGAATCGTCGAAACTAAATTTGACTGTGTTTTTTATGTGCGAGGAGCAGCCGTTCAGTTATTCAAACGGAAACGAATGTTACCAGGGTCCAATGAAGAGACCGTAGTCGTTATATACGTTACATAAACCTCTTCCAATTTTGTGCTGATATGCGAATGCGGAGACTAGTTCAATTTAGATTTCTCGGTTTTGGACGAAATTATAAAGACGAAAGTTGCTACCTAATAATTAGAATTTTACATAACAGTTAGAAATATTTTTTAACCGTCTACGTTGGCGTTTAGCATCGTACTTAGATATCATAATAATTTAAAATATATTTTAGTCATAATTTCACAATGTGTGTATATTTTTTACATTTTGTGGTCACTGTTTAGGACAGTCAAAAGTAGGAAAGTGAATCTATTTGGTACTTTGGAAGGACTAAAGAAAATTAAAGATTAACGGATTTTTAAGCAAAACTGGTTTTCAACAACATTTAATTATTACGTATTTTAAAACAAAAGACTATAATTTAATGAATATGTCATTTATGTGCGTCGAATAACAGTGAAGTGATTGAAATCGAATCGAATGTAAAAAGGTCCTATTAAGAGACCAAATTCGCTGAACATTTCATAAGCCGCTTCCAACTTTATCCCGCGTCGTGAACGTGGAGACAAGGTCGATTAAAAATATTTAAATTATCTTGGTTTTGGATGAGAACACGTTCTGTTTGACGTTAGGTTTATAATATTTTCCGATTTATAACATCGTTTTAATAATATGTTTTGGCCTTATTTATTTTCTGAATAATGTTATTGAATTATATTATAGAATATCATTGATATATTTTATCACGAGTGTAACGATCTATGAGAATGGATGCTATGACATCTATCGGTTAAATGCATTTATTTGCTTCAGACTGCCTTCAGTCATCAACAATGTTTAATAGGGTGGTTCATCTAGACTCTAGAGTCTAGACATTTTAATATATTAACCTATTTTATAAACTATCTGAACTACCTATATTTTCATAGTGATACCTTCGCTGAGATTCTAATCTAAGGCAATCGGCATTAGGAGGCTATTACAATTTCACCTAAGAAATA